CAAGAATATATATACTTTGTGGGGTCTGCCACGCCTCCTTCTGCCTGTTACATACATTTCAACAAAACCTTTATACCCTGATTTCCCATTTTCAATGGGTTCAGGGTATAAAAAAAGTAGAGGTCTCTAGCTCTTATATCTTCTGAAATCGACGCGTTCAAACGGAGTCGCCTTGTGGCCGTTAATAAAACCGACTTTGACTCAGTTTCATCCATTTTAGTCGTTTTCTAGTTGCCAAAACTTCCTGAACGCGGCGCTCTGTATCGCAAGGTCTAATTAGAAACAAAAAAAATTGGAAGCTGTTGCATTTTTTGTAAAGTCTTGCGCCTATAATAGCGGCTTTTCCTCGTGGTGGTCACGCATTTCGATTATTGAAATTTTTCCACTTTTCGTTGTAATTTGATTTCATGTATACAACATTATTTACACGGTTAGACCAACCAACATCCTTGTATGGAAGAACTTTAGTGATTTCTTCGGTCGTCAGGCTGACCACCCAAGACCAAAAAGTTATGGTGGATATATGTCCCACAGGGGCCGTGGCAAACAAGAAAAGTTTATGTCTCCTACAGTTTAAGATGTAGAAACTTTAATACTGGATATTTGAGTTGGTGGTATTCTTCTCCATCGAGGACCCAAATATAATACCCTGCAATGTTTACCTGCTTTGAGCGTAAGGGTAGGTTACTGTTGGCTCGTTCTAATAACTGCTGAGGGCCTAAAAACTACTGCATTTTCTACAGTATTAGATCTATACTTAGCTACTAAATTGCTGTTAGGATGTGAATGAGTATTCTGCAATTGGTAACGCTCGACTGCATCGTTCTTATTTGTTTTGTCATTTTTTTGATATGCCTGTCATGTTATGATATTCTAAAAGTTTACTATCTATAAGAACAATTATTCCACAAATAGGTAGCCAAAATATAACCCAATTTGCAGTCAAAATGCAGTCGCTGCGTCAACTGCGCAGTTAGCAGAGCTTGTGCTACTGCGTGCGTGCGTGTGTTGTTTCTAGTATATGCAAAATTATTATTGGGTCAGGGGGTCTAGTAGTTGAGCAGTCTCGGCTCCATCCATCCATATTCCACTTACAGTGCTTAAAAGTGAGAAGTTTATAAGAAACTTTGTTAGTTCTTGCTAGCTTCCATGCCGTGCTTATGGCCGTCTCGCATGTTGTAGATTTATTACGGTCAAGGGTCTGGGCTGGCACACCTACATTAACGTTGTGTCTAACATTTCGCACAGGTGACCTTTTTCGTTGCCATTGTTTGGTTACATCAATTGCAAAAATAACAATGACGGCAGTCCGCCAAGCAGGCAGTAGGTGGATTGAATGCTATTGAATTCTATGTTTTGCAGGCACTCGAACGAAATATGTCGCTATCAGGACAATATTTAGAAGAGCTGTCACGACGTTATAAGAAGCAGGTGGAGGAATTGCAACAGACCCTTACGCAACAGGCGCTGACTGTGCGTACTTTGGAGGAGCAAAGTCGACGTTTCCTAGAGCAGGAGCAACTCTATCAACACCAAAATACGGAGTTGGCTGGGGAAGTGCGTGCGCTCACGTATCAAGTGCAAGCGTGCATCCTAGTCATCATTATAGTGGGTACGTGCATCTTTCTTATGCTAGTAGGGGGCACTGTCTTCTATCGGAAGTTGCGACGCCAAACTCAGCAGCTGATGCCGCGGAGAGCAGCTATGGAACTCACTAAAACTAATCTCTGTCGTCGTAAATCATATGAGGAAATTATGCAGCAGTCGCCTGGGAAGCAACGGAGGCCTAGTGAGGAGGCCATGCTAATACTGAACGGATGCGGAGACAGATCGGTAGAGGAACAGTCAGAGGTTGGCCATAGCGGCAGGCAACGCAAGATTTCTGTTTGTTACGGCAGCAACAATAACATAACCAATCATATGATCAACACGAGGACATCTTTGCACCGGAGAAAAGGTGCAAAGAATTCGTGGCACTCATGCTTGGACTCTGCGCCGGTATCGTGTCTTGAAAATGTAGACAAATTCTTCGACTTGGGTAAGTTGAACCTGAACCAGACTTCTGCAAAAATGTCTGCTTATGTTATACAAATTCATTACAGATACACTAAAAGCCCAAAAGATGTTGACCAAGCCAACCAAAAAGAAATCGCTTCAATTATTCCCACACGAACTAAAGCGTCAGGAGTCAGCGCCTGCTAATTGTACACAAGAATACCGTGTTGAGGAGCATACGCAGAGCGACTTTGACGAGAGTCTCATACTGGACGACGATGATTTATGCAATTTCATACCCACCACTGACTTGGCTTATAACGAATTTATGCCTGATGGACCATCAGGCTACCAGATTGTGGACACAGTTGATGGAAAGTCTAGTAAGGGGCAGGCGACTAAAAAGAGTCGCCGCGTCTCATCACCAGCATTCTTCAAGTCACCTTTCAGCAAAAGCAAAAATAAGGAAATCATTCTAAATGGAGATGGCAGTGGTAGTCGCGTCAAGGCCAGCCAATCCGCGCACGAGGCCACTTCTTGGGAGTGGTATCGCTTAAAGCGCAGTGATAAGCAACACAATTCGAAGCATTTGACGACAGTGTCAGTTGCATCTAACTCGCCCAATGCAAGCATAGACAATTCGTCGCTGTCGGAAGTTAGCTTTCCTTTTAACTCTACCCAAAATTCATTTCGCATACTTGGCGAAGCCATACAGTCCTCGGGCGAGGGTAGAGCTAGTGGTATGAGCAGCACTGTAGCCGCTGGTAGCAGCAGTAGCAGTGGCGCAAGTACCACATCATCCACTACGAAAAAGAAGCAGCGTGCCTTCAATAATATTTTTCGAAAAGTCTTCTGAGGTAGCCATTGTTGCCTAGCAATTTATTTATTATTATTCTTTACTTAATTAGTTGTTCCCTTAATTGTGTTCATTTACGTCTACTTTCAAGGCTACGACATCAATTCGACTGATGTTATCTACGTAGATAATACAAAATTTGTTGTAAATTAAACTTCAATTCGTTAAAATACCAGTAAAAATATTAATTTCCCTGTTTCTGAAGAGTTCCTTAGCGTTGCAGTAAAATGCAAATAATCGTAAAAAAAATTAGTTATATCCTCAACAGCTTTTAATTGTAATTATATGCTTGCTGTGATATATATATATATATATATATATATATATATATATATATATATATATATATATACATATAATATATACATATATATATATATACATATATATATACATATAATATATACATATATATATATACATATAATATTGCAAGCGTTATTGCCTTTTGCCCAGAATTAAATTAAATATTAAGTTTGTATTCTATAAAGAACACTGCAAATCATTGCTGTGTGTATTAGTTTGTTATTAGAAATATTATTACTAAAATTATATATTGAAGAATATTATATAATATATATTATATAGTTGTATGTTTATTTAAAGGAAATCAAGGTAAATTTTTTTTGTAATTTTATATTTTCAATTCACTGAGAAAATCCGCAACGTCAAGCGCATCCTTGTCGCTCAATTTCTGATCTTTAACAGCATTGTTAAGACGACGTCCAGCTGTGCCCATGTGTTTCTTCCATTGGTCGATCGTTTTATAGCATTCGTTGTTGGCACAGAAGACAATTTCATTGATATCTTCGTCCAATTTATAACTACAGACTGAAACAAAATGTTGCTTCAAATTGGCTATCGTTTCGTTCCGCAAACTATCATCCCGACACACTAGATTTAACATAAATAGACCAGTTGGTCCTAATATCTGTTTTATGTCTATAAGTACTTTATTTGCAAGAAAACTTTTTGGAGGGCAGCTCATGCCCACCGAAAGATCCTTGCTATCCACATCAAAAAGCACTGCTCCAAACTGGATGCCTGCAAACAAAACAAAAACTTAAGATGATTACTAAACATTAAGTCGTTTCCTCACCTTCATTACAACAGCGTTCCACGAAGGCAAGCCCATCATCGATAACCACGTGAAGGCGATTATCTTGCTTAAGCTCAAAATATTGCTCAGCTACTTCTAACATTATAGGATCTATTTCAACAGCTGTAATACGCGTTTGACTGAAACTCAAATTAGAAGTAGTTTATGCAAATATTTATTACTTAATGCTTACGGATATGCTGCGTGTAGAAAACTGCATAGTCCACCGCCACCGAGCCCAATGACTAGCACATCGTTCTGTATATCTCTTTTAGAGCACTCCATAGTTGCGGCAAGTTGCACACCTACAGACATGTAGACATGATGATGGCAAGCCAAGTAGCCAAAATCAATTTTTTTGCGATCCTTTTTTCCTTTAATTTTAACTTTAAAAGTTTATCAGTATACACTTATAGTTGAGTGATTAGTTTAACTTCATACCTGTTTTTACTAACGCTTCCGATTGGACAACAAACTGATTCTTAAGAAAGATAAGGCGACGTAGTATTTTACCATCAACTTCTACCTCTTCAATACGAAAGTCTCCCGATAGCTTAGAGAAGCCACAAATTAGCGTCTCCCGCTTGCCTACCTCAGAGCCCAATGATAAATAGGGAATCTGTTCTTTAAGGCCAGCAGGCGCCAGATTCATTATGCTATAACCTAATTCACTTTTTACCTCCTCAAGCGTGCTATAAATCTGATCGCGATGTAATGTCACCACGGCTAATCGTTGAAATTTGGCCGATTCCAGAAGCTTTCTACGACCCTCTGTTGTCGCAAAAAGCCACTCAGTTTCACGGCCTTGCGGAACAATAAATGCAGCATATTTTCCCAGCCCACGAGCGGACATTTGCTCTAGGACGTGTACGGTGTATCGTGGCATTTCTTCTGAAGCTCGATATAGATCCATTGTGACTTCATTATGACCAGCTATACTTGAGCGTGCTAGTCCATTGCAAACTAGTGCTGCTTTTTGCACAGATGCCACAGCAGTTGTCATTTCTCTTGAGCAACTAAAACGTTGCATTTTTTCGTTGCCAAATCCAAACTCAAGAATCTGAAAATAATGTTTATTATGAAATGCAAATCAGTCAGAAGTATGTCACTTACCGGCATTGGTAGGCTATTGAACTTGGTTGCAATTATGACAAAGACAGGAAATATTAGCGAGTCCTCTGAATTGTTTTCTCTATTAGCGCGCTCCACATCCAGACAATGCACAATTCGCAACATACAATTATTTCGAGGTAGAAACTCCAGCAGATACTCAATGATGTGCTCCTGCAACATGGATATACCTACGTATCGTCCGCCATTGCTGCAGTTAAAATTTTTTTATATATCATATGTATTTTTTAATGTTATTATAAAAAGTAAGGACTAACCGCATTGTGCGTAGTATTTCTGTAAAATATCTATCCACAATCTCTTTGGTTTCTGCGGAATCATTTACAAATATGGCGTCCAATGTGCCCTTATCTAACGCTACGGAAAAACTCGCATCAGGAAATGACATTTTCGTTGCATCCATCTTAATGAATTTCATATCTGGTCGCGTTTTCGCATTCAGGTCTATCATCTTTTTTACGGCAACTGATGAGATGTCAATATTAGTAATATCACGATATCCCGCGTCGTACATATCCATACTAAGCTTTGAATTGCCGCAGCCAAGCATTAATATTTTGTCTACTGGCTTTATATACTTGTGTATTTGGTCGCAAAGTTCTATATACTCGCCATACCTAAAAAAAAGTTTATATACAAATCAGAAAAACTGGCAGACGGGGCATGTGTCTTTCCTTTAAACAGGAAATATGAATTTGCAATTACCATTCAAAAGCCTTTTCACCGCGTTTTTTGAAGAACTCATTCCAGTAATCTGTTTGCGCAAATTCTTCGCGGGTTCTTGGCAGCAAATTCATTGTAAGATCCTATTAAATTTATTTATAGTTCGGAGCACCCTTGTATGAAATCGCGCATCTAACTTTACTTGAATATTATTCAAAAAGGTGCTAAATATCACCGGCAAATTGTGACGCCACGGAATCGTATAATTACATCAAAGAATGGACAATTTAACTTTTCCAGTATTATTATATTTGTCAATCAACTGATTTTAATAAATTAGCAAGTATTTTTGGTCACCGAAGAAAATACACATTAAAAATTGGCAACGAAACGGATTTTTCTTCTGAATTATGCTAATGGTTGATTTAAATTATCACTACAAATTTGATGTCAACGTTGCTTTCAAATATACCTTGTATATTACCAAAAAATAAAATAAAAATTTATCCAATCGCTTTAGCAACAATTTGTATTATTTGTATTTTAACATGAGTTTTCAGTAATTGAAATCAACATTTGCTATTCTCATGCAGCTCCAAAGTGCCATTCACAGCGAATCGCACAGCTGAAAACGGATTTTTTACTTGCTAAAACTAACTTGCTTTTTGTTTCTGTGTGTTTCTTGGTTTTAAATGAATTGATTTAGGTATTTTCGTGCATAATTGTATTCGATGCATGTCAAAGTTTAATTGTGCTTGTAGACTGCCAAAATCAATATAGGGGAAGAGTGTAACTAACAGCATCATAAAAAGGGGAGGCAATTTGATGTTATCGCTTGGTACGAAGTTTTCTACACCTAAATAAGAAATAATGGAAATTAATTGAGGCACGTCGATGTCAACGTCAGTTGCACAAAACATTAACAGCTGCACTTATCGACCAGTTCGAAGTGTAAGTGGAAATGTGAAGGTCAAGTCGCAAGTTAGGGACCCAAAAACAGGAACCGTTTGAACTATAGGAGGTACAAATGCGTGCTACTGGTGGGCTTGTGCAGTCTAATGCTAGCGTGGAGCCAGTTATGTCACGTCTTGATTATGAGCAAACTGCTCTGCATCATAGCTGCCTCTTGGTGCTGCTGCGCGGCGTGGGACCTTCACGTGCCCGCATATTGCAACGGGCTTTTGAGAAGGTCCGACGTGTCAATAATATCAAAGTAACGGGTAACTCTTCACGCACTTTATATTGTTTAATAACATTTCGATATTTTAACATTAAATTTATTCGTTTGTAGACTCTAGCGGCACAGTGCGTACCGTTTATTTTCGCTTTATTCATGATCATCCCGTGGAGCATAACGATTGGGGTGACTTTCAAACTCATCGTCGATTACTCGGCCTGATAACTATAGGAAAATTTGAGAACCAAACGGAATTGAACGAGCTGTGCCGTCACCACGAATCGCTAAAAGTTAGATATGGTGGCACGTTATACGAGTCACGAGCCATATTTTTTGGACCTGATACGCATGCATCAAATGCCAATGCCAAAGGTGATGCGCAACCGGTGTTGCAAACAATTGGAGAGAATGTCGCAAACACGGATGAAAGCTGTGCGGGAAAAAAGTCCCTGCTATATGGTCGGCTTCAGGATGAGTTTACCACGCCGTCCAATTTTAAATCACAAGCGTTTTTTTACCGCGAGCAGGATATCGGCATGGATCTGGAAGTTCGTGTCGAAGATTTTTTAAGCGCATTATTTTGGGTGCTGGAGTCGAGGCGTCTTGAACGCTCGCGTGAAAAAGCCGACAAGGTCAGTCTCCTTTTGGCGCCCTTTGAGAAACGTGATTTTGTGGGCCTAGACATGGAGTCACGCAACAATCGTAAACGCTGTGTGGGCCGCGTGATGAAGAACTTGGCAGATCTGTCGCTGCAGGCTGGCCTTTTAGAGGATGCACTTAGCTTGTACCACAACGCCAATGAAACGCTGCGCTCAGTTGGCGACTCCCTGTGGGTGGGTGCCACAGAAGAAGGTCTATGCGCAGCTTCTGCTGTTATACTGTATCCACAAATGCGGGAAATCGAAGTATTGCACAGGAACGCATCTCTGCAAGAAACAGGCGGGTTAAGATTAATTTTATTTTCTTTATATTATTAATTGACTTTTCTTCGAATTATAGGTACTTCACAGCTGCGCACCACGCCGGAAAAGTGGCGTGCAAGCGACGCAACGAAGAAGACAAATGCGAATGCGTGCCCTGTAACTACGACCGCGGGAACATCAAACTGCGCAGATGCTTTTAACTCCCATTCATCTTCCTGCTCATCTGTTTCATCCATATTGACAAATAATTCCTCAGCGTCGGGCACACCCACAACCTCCACGTCCTCTTCTTCGACATCGACAATATCTGTAGCGCCTTATGGCCACCGCAATGGCGAGCTACCTGGAAATATAATAAAGCCTGAAGATATAACCAATTATTATCGGAAGGCAATAATAAACTATAGCAAGTATCGACATGCAGCAACCATTGAAACAGAGGCTGCTTTGAAAGCTTCGCGTATATGTATTGAGCAGAATCGGCCGCTGGATGTGGCCATGTTTCTTCAAAACATTCTGTACATAAATCTCAGCATGAGCGAATCAGATCGCGTTAAACGATTTGAGGTCATAACAGAATTATATCAGCAAATCGGTTACCAGCGCAAAGCTGCATTTTTTCAGCGCCTGGCCGCACTAAAACATGTACAGCAGGGTACTCAAACACCGGACTGGACTCAGAGCTATCGCCTCTTGTTAGGCAGTTTTACAGGATACCTGCTATCCCTGGATCCCCTAGAAGTACTGGAGAATGCTGCTGGTTGGCCAGCATTGCAAATAGACCTTGTACAGAGTCTTATATCTGCAGCGAGACGTCTTGGATACTCGGCGCTGGCTACGCGTCACATGACATTTTTGCTTCAAACACAGTGGAACAACATGTCAGCCACTGAGCAAAGCGAAATGGCTGTACAACTACAGGTATGGGTTTTAAAGATAATTGATAAGTAAACAAGAAAGAAAGCTCTAGTCGAGACAGCTCGACTACGAGATCCCCTGAACCCTACAAGCAACTGATATTTCAAT